CTGGGATTAAAGGCATGCGCCACCACCACTCAGTTCCTCCCACCTTTTTTGAGACAGGATCTCTCCCTGAACATGGAGTTTGTTCATCTGGATAGACTGGCTGGCTAGAGAGCCTCAGGGATCCTGCCATTTCCTCCTTGGCACTGGGATTACAGGCATGTTCTACTACACCTGGCTTATGTATGTTGGTGCTGGCGATCAAACTTGGGTTCCCATGCCTGCTCTTCTGCATGCACCTTATTGACTGAACTATCTCCCCACCCACCCCCCTTCGTAGTAGAACTTTTTAAATTGGCCAATCTATAGACAAAAATTAAGTGGGCCTGTCCAATCTTCTGGTCTAGTACTGAGGAACAGAGATGAGCAGACCGAGAATGTTCCTATCACGTAGCCTGCCCTCTGTGACAGCGAGGGTGTCCCTGGCAGGTGGTTTCATTCTCACCCAAGGCTCTGAGGCCTGCTGTCTGCGTCTGATCAGTATCATCCACAGCTCCCAACAACATATTCATTCTCACAGCGACACTTTCCAGGAAGTAACATGAAAAACCGCCATTACTCAGTCACCAAGCTAACATCAGAGCTCCATGTATGGACATGGAGAGACCCCAACAAGATGCATCATGCCAGACACAGACTGTAGGCAGCAAGTTTACCTGCATTTGAATGTATCTAGGGGGTCAGGTGGGGTGGCAATCATTATTTCATATAATGTGCATGATCATCTGAATGATTTCATGTAACTCTGACGGTAGCCCTACGGAATAAATGTCACTATCAGCCCCATTTTACAGATGCAAAACCAAGACGGAAACTGAGTAAAGCAATTTGCCTGAAGCCTCCTAACAAACCAAGGTGTAGGGAGCTACAAGCTGAACCTTGCCTGCCCCAGGCTTCACGCTCTCCACCTCTCGGTGGTGTCTCAGGGACAATCTGTCAGGATGTACACCAGATGGCTCCCAGGGACGCGGCCCAGAAGTGGGATAGAGGAGCCTGAGATTCTGGTATCTTTAGACGCCTCTGTGCTGTTTTGAATTTAAAAACAAAATAAAGCCAGCCATGTGCTAATTTTATAACAGCAAAATTAAAAACAACAACATCACCACCAACGCAAAAGCGCCATTAAAAACATAAACCTCCCCCCCCCCTTCAGACAACAGCTGGTTCTGATGCCCAAGCTGTTCTCATACTTCTCATCCTGACTCCATCTCAAGTGCTCGGGTAACGGGGGTGCCCCCATACCCTGTGAGTGGCAGTCCTTTGCGAATGTACCAACTACATAGTTCCCCTGCCCTTTCATCCCAGCCCGGAATAGATGGCAGAGGGAAAAAAAATAGTTTTGTGTCCAAGAACTTTAGGAAATACTGGATCAGACAAAATGAATTAGGCTTCTTCTCTGGGGGAGACCTGCAGAGATTTAGCAAGTCAGCGTCAACCATGTGGGACAGTTTGTCACTGAGGCTAGGTAGGCTGGCTCTAAAACATTTTCTTTCTAGGTGCATCATGGAACTATTTCTTTTTTCTTTTCTTTTCTTTTTTTCTTTTTTCTTTTTTGTTTTTTTGTTGTTATTTTGTTTTTTTTCAGGGCAAACACTGATAATGCAGCATGAAATATTCCAGACCCACACTGAGGTTGGCTGTTAAAGATTACATTTCTAGGGGTTGGAGAGATGGTTCCTGACAGAGGACCTGGGTTCAATTCCCAGAACCCACATAGCAGCTCACAACTGTCTATAACTCCAGTTCCAGGGCATCCGACACATTCACATAGATACACATGCAGGCAAAACACCAATGCACATAAAATAAAAATAAGTAATTTTTTTTAAAAATTACATTTCTAGGCTTCTGGTGCGGCCTCATGCACTCAGCATGCATGAGATCCTGCATGGTTGAAGGCTGGGGGAGAGGAGGAAGGCTCCTACTTTACTAGATGCTATCTTGGGCCTATCTTTCTCCCACCCCAACACCATCCTCTGAATTGAACTTGGCTTTGAAACCATCAGCCTGTGGGTGTGTGTAGGAGTTTGTAGGATCCTACCTCTGACTGAACCTGCACAAATGCATTTTCCTATGATAGATGAGAAGCTTTGAACAGGGAAGGGATGGTGAGGGTGTATGCATTTTATTTTTTTTTTAAAGACAAGGTGTAGATATGTAGGTAACCCATGCTGGGCTTAAACTCCCTGTGCTCCTGCCTCAGCTTTTGGAGTGCTAGAATATGAAACAATGCAAAATAGAGTTTGGCTGAGACAAACTCCTGGGACAGACAGAGCCCTTCCCTCAGATCAGAATCGAGCCTCCTGAGTTTTCACACTGGACGATATACAGGAAACAAGCTCATTTGCAAAGCCATACCACAAGCCTGAGAGATTGGGCGGTTCACTGTCTTGCCAAAGCCCCGAGTAGGTGTGATTCCGGGTGTGAGCAAACACTGCAGGAAAAGGAAGTCTCCTAGCGTCTCTCAAGCGCCTACTGTGTGTCAGTATCGCCCAGGACACATTGTCATCGTGATCCCTTTGACTTTGCCAGGAACTCTAGAAGTGAGAGCTTTGTTACTGGGTCTTTGTGAATAAACAGAAGTTTGGAGTGGACAAACCACCCTCTCAAGCAAATGGCAGACCCAAAATTGTTCCTTCTCTCTCTCTCTCTCTCTCTCTCTCTCTCTCTCTCTCTCTCTCTCCCTAAAAGGTGTGGTTTTTAAACACTACACCAGGGTTTGGGGATTTAGCTCAGTGGTAGAGCGCTTGCCTAGCAAGGGCAAGGCCCTGGGTTCCATCCTCAGCTCCGGTAAAAATAAATAAACAAACAAACACTACACCACACCCTGGCTCTTTAGGCTTTGACTTTGCTCTGAGGTCTCTGCACCCCTGGTCCCAGAGAGCAGCACCAAGGCAAGGTAGGGACCTCAGCTTTACGTCCTAAGCAATCTCCAGAGCGAGCCTCCGCCCTTCCCAGGACTGCCCAGTTCAGGAAGCTTCTCCATCCCCTTGAAGGACGTTCTCCCAGCCCCCGTCTGAAGTTTCAGCCCTTTTGCTGCCCTGGTCCTCTGGGCTCTTCTGAGAAGAGCTGCTATCCTGAGTCCCAAAGACTAGGGACTGTGGGATTCCTGTCAGTCAACACAGGACAGTCGGAGGGATTGCTGCTATTGCCTGTTCCCGAGATCCAGGAAGCGCCTGTGCGTTTCCTGCCCCTGTAGGAGGCTGGCATATGCTGACAAGATGGAAAATGTGTTACAGGGACATCTCCAGAGAGATACGGAAAACCTGGAAAGTCAGCCGAAGTGAAGACTGCCCCCCCAAAGTTAGGCTGCGAGGGGATGGGTGGTATCTGGTGACGAGTTTCTGGGCCTCTACCCTTTAGAGTCTGAAGCAAGAATCCTGAAGGCCGACATGCACACACAAATACAGTTGGGTCTGAGGCAGGAGGGGACAAGGGCGAAGGGGAGGACATCCTGTCCTGACACTTGGCAGGACAGGAATGGTGACTTTCCAGACGGAAGTTCAGAAGTCCTTGCCCTGAGCCCAGCTGTACCCTATCTGGGATAAAAATAGTCCTTCCTCTTCCTCTTCCCTTCTCCCATCATTCTCATTCACTACCAACTTCCCCAGGGAAGACACATCCATCCTGGATGAACCTCCCTCACATATCCATCTGCTTCCCTGGAGACGGACGACTCTGTCTTTCGGGATGCCGGTTCCTAAGACTCAAGTCAGTTCTCAGATGTCCGTCTAGATTCCATGAGGTTTTGCCACTCAGGTCTGCCCCGGGATCAGAGGCTTCCTCGGGCCTGCACTCAAGACGTCCATCTCATCACCCTGTCTACCACAGCAGGAGGAGGAGCCCAGTCCAAGCCATCACGCTCTCACAAGGTCCTGCTCTACCACTGTCCAGCTTGAGGAAGTACAGGTTAGATAGATGCATGACCACCTTTGGACCTCAGAAACCTCATCCTATGAGGACGAGGAACTGCACGGGTGACTGCTGGTGGCCTCTTCGATACTTGACCTCGTGCGCCTCGATCTCCAAGGAGTATGCTCCTAGTGAGACGGGGAGAGAGATCCACCAAGCTAGCCAGCCTCCAGCAAAGGCATTTCGGAAAGGCTGCCGTCCAGCCAGGGGACCTGACCCTCCGCGCAGATGGGATCCTCTGCTGTCTGGCTCCCACCATAGCCCCTTGACGGTTGTTCCCCATGCCCCTTACCTGCCCAGCCTGGGAGCCTTCCGGCCCATTCACATGATGTTTGTGGCCTGGCTCGGCTGCCTGGACCCAGTCTCGGCGCCCTTGCCTTCGTACTCAGCACCTGGCTCCTCGCGCCCACGTTCCACCCTGACTTCCTGCCTCCCTCTGAGCGCTCCGCAGCCAACCCAGCCCCAGCAGCCCAACCACAAGCCTCTAGCACCCCAAGCTTCCTGCCGCCATAGCCCTAGACCCTTCGGCCTCTTGGGGTCCCAGACGTCTCTGGGTCAGCCCCTAGTCATACTGAGGGTGGCACTTAGAGCGGGGGTATTGAGGGGAGGTCCATGTGTGATGCCAAGGGTCTATAATCCCAGCACTCTGGAGATGGGGGCAGTAGTGGCTATACACAGAGTTTCAGGCCAGCCTGAACCACATGAGTCCCTGTCTCAAAACAACAACAACAATAGTAATAATAATAAAAAAAACAAGGAGAGTTTTGTTTTGTTTAATGGAGGGTCTTATTGTGTAACTCTAACTGGCTTGGAACTTACTATGTAGACCAGACCAGTGTGTCCTTGAATTCACAGAGATCACCGGCCTCTGCCTCCCCACTGCAAAGGAGTGTGTCATTATACCTGGCAAGAAAGGATGTTGGATGGAGCCCTACCTTCCTGTCCTCCACAATACGCCCAGGAAAGAGATCCAAAGGGAGCCTCTGCGCCCCCCCCCCCCCCCCGAGCTACACGTTCAGCTCACAGGGAAGGGAAATCGTGCTACAGTCACGCTGTGCAAGAACTAGGTGGCCTTTAATTTAGTCTGACAGCCAAAGGCATCTCTGTTCAGAGTTGAAGCCTAGACAATAACTCTGTGAAATGGTTGGTGGCAGGGTTGCATGTATCACAGTAAAAGCAGCAACCACAGTCGCTGACAGAGCAGTGTCCATGTCATCTCGGGGCACAGGACAACAGTTGTGTTAGAGTCACAGGGCAGGCCTCCTACAGGAGGAACACACGGACATCCCACGTCCTTAAGACTAGAGTGACAGGCTGGGACGTGGGGGCACACAGCTTTAGTCCCAGCATTTGAGAGGCAGAGGCAGGAGGAACTCTGTGAGTTCCAGGCCAGCCTGGTCTACACAGTGAGTTCCAGGCCAGCCTGGGCTACACAGTGAGTTCCAGGAAAGGCAGGGCTACATGAAGAAACCCTGTCTCAATATCTAGATAGATAGATAGATAGATAGATAGATAGATAGATAGATAGATGATAGGTTGATAGATGTTTAATTGAAGACTATAGTAACAGGCAGAAGGCAGAACAACAGAGCTAAAGATCATAACTGGAGTAGAGGCAAGGCCACACCCCTACCATAACACGGCTTGTCATGGGTGGAAGACAGAGCAAGCATATTGCCCAGGCAACAGAAATCCTGGTGTCCGCAGGAGGTAAGAGCTTTACAGCCAGCAGCAGGCAGGACAAAAATGGGGACGGTGCCCATCCTAGGCAGAGGGCCAGGTCACCAGTGACAGGAGGAACCCCCGACGGCCCCTGCCAGGCCCAAGAATGGGTCCTGACCTCACTGGAAGGAAAGTGTAAATGTGTCACCTCCTGGGCTAGGCTGAGGGAGCAGGTGGGGGAGGGGAGCCCACAGAGCATTGTTGGGGTTTGTGAGACGGAAGCTGAAGCAGTATGCACCTCCACTGCAGAGGGAAGGGGGGACAGGAAATGGGGGTGGGGGAGGGAGGAAGCCTGAGTTGGAAAGTCAGACAAAGAGAGTCACAGAGAAACAAAGACACAGAAGAAGAAGAAAAAAAAACCTCCCCAGTGACGGAGCTAACAGATGTGCTCTCCGGACCTGGTGCAGGGCCCAGCTCCCCTCGCTGAGAACCTTAGCATTTCACAGCTCACCTCTGGGGGGAAGGGTACTGAGGAGCAAGGGCGTTCCAAAGTAAGGCCTACCTAGCTGCCTGTGGAGTAAGAAGTAGCAGCTTATTTTTATTTATTTTTGAATTCTTGTTTGTTTCTTTTTGTTATTTTGTTTTATTGAGAGAGGGTTTCTCTGTGTAGCCTTGGCTGTCCTGGATCTCACTCTGTAGTCCAGGCTGGCCTCAAACTCAGAGATCCGCCTGCCCCCCTGCCTCCAGAGTGCTGGGATTAAAGGCGTGGGCCACCACCAACGCCCTCCTGGCTATTTTGGGATTTTTTTAAGACAGGTTCTCTCTAGGTAGCCCTGGCTGGCCTGGAACTCACTATGTAGATCAGGATGACCTTAAACTCATAGAGATCATCCTCCTGTCTCTGTCTCCTGAGTGCTGAGATTAAAGGCACATTACACTGGCTTGATCTCCCCATGGTCTAATAGAGAGGGGGGATTGCTTTTGAATACAGAACTCTCAGCTTCTACATCCTCCTAACCCTCAATTTACCTAAGCCACCTGCCATGAGAGTGCGTGGATTTTAAGTTTAGGGTCCAGAGAGGTGACTGGGTAGTCAAGAGCACTTCCTCTTCCGGAGGACCTGGGTTCAGTTCCTTGCATCCACATCAAGCACCTCACAACTGCCTGTAACTCCAGTGCCAGCTACTCCAATAATCTCTTCCGGCCTCTCTGGGCACACACACACAAAACTAAAAAAATGCAATAAATCTTTATAATTTTTCCTCACTTCTGATTTGATAAGGTGGAGAAATAAAGCTGGAGCTATTGGGGAGACAGGATGCCATCTACCCTCAGCAGAGTCTGTCTCCTGTCGTTAAGTCCCTGGTCCCAGTGGCCCAGGGTAGAGATGCAACAATCGCCCTCAACCTCAGTGGAGGACGCAGAACTTTGATGGGATGCAGTGGGTTTTATTAAGAAATTTGGGGGCCTGAGCTCCCTCTTTTCCCCTCACCCTGGGGCTTTGTGCTTTCCGAATGAATTCAACTTTCAGAAAGCTAAGCGTGCCCTCTCCCCCAGCAGATGCCGGAGCCTCCGGGGCACCTCTTCCTTCTTCCCAGCTAGTCCAGGAGACACCCAAGTGCCCTCAGCAGAGGGTGAAGCGTCTGGCGCTGATGTTCATGCGCGTGAGTCCCAGATGCCGCAGCGGCGGGGCCAGAGCCAGGCCAGTCCCGGACTCCAGCTCCAGCTCCAGCTCCGCCTCATCCAGCAGCTCCTGGTGCAGGTGACAGGCTTGGTCCACTTTCAGTCGGTGCAGCTGGGCCCTCAGCCTCAGCAGCTGCCCCGCTAGCTGCCGGTCCTGAGCACGCATCTCCTGCTGTGACCAAGAGGGGGCATAAGTGTGCTGGACCAGCCTCCAGCCTCACCAGCCCTTGTTCCCTTTCTGTGAACACTCTGCCTAGAACAGCCCACAAAGCCCCTTCTCACCTAATTTCATCCTTCCCCATCTCTCAGATCTTGTTCCAGACTGGTGGTTCCCAGACCAAGCCAAGGACCCATTAGTATGCAAATACAGATTATCTGTTCTGCTGTATTTGCACGTAGGGTTGACAGCCCATATTAGAGTTAAAACTCTTCCCTCCTAAGAATCTACCTGACACCAGAAGGTGGTGGCACACGCCTTTAATCCCAGCACTTGGGAGGCAGAGCCAGGCGAATCTTTGTGAGTTCGAGCCTGGTCTACAAAGTGAGATCCAGGACAGGCTCCAAAGCTACACAGAGAAACCTTGTTTCGAGAAAAAAAAAAAAAAAAAAAAGAATCTACCTGACAACACAGTCAGAGTCGACTTTTTCCTTGGTTGTCTCTCCTCTCTACGTCAGTGTTCTCAACCTGCCTAACACTGTGACCCTTTAATACAGTTCCTCATGTTGTGGTAACCCCCCCCCAAGCAAAAATTATTTTCGTTGCTACTACGTAACTAATTTTGCTAGTGTTATGAATCATAATGCGATTATCTGGTATACAAACCCGTTCGACCCCCACAAACAGGTCGCGACCCACAGGTTGAGAACCCCTGCTCTAATCTGTTAATGCAGAGTTGACTCTGCAAATAACACACGACTGAATTCCTGGCTCCTCTGTGCCAGGGCACAGCAGTGAGGAACTGCTTTGGAGAGTGGTCCGGTCTCACCTCCTCCCAACCCCACAGACTTGGGTCTTTACGAAGACTGGCTCAAAGACCCTGTGCAAGCCCGTCTATCTCAATGGACTCACCAGCTCCCTTCTGAGCCACTGAAGCGCAGAATCCATGGAGTCAAAGCCACAGATGGCTCCAGGTCTCTCCGGCTCAGGTCTGGCTTGGACTCTGCACCAGGCCCGGCTCTGGACCCTGGCAGTCCACTCCAGGTATGAGGGTCGTCGGGTCTGCAGCCGAAGCTTGGCTGTCAGTGCCTTCACAGAGTCTAAGCTCTCCTCCTCATCTTCCTCATCCTCGCCCACTGCCTGGAACTTCAGTGGCTCTAGGGACATGGCAGGTCTGTGGAGGTCAATGGGGCAGTGAGGGAAAGGCCTCAGGAGAGGTGGAAGAGGCTGAGAAGGAAAGAGTGTGCCAGGAATGTGAGGTGGAGAATGCAGATGGTGCGTAAGGGAGGCTAAGTGTGCCAGAGTGAGTGAGCAGATGGGTGTGTGAGGCTAAGTGTGCAAGGGATGGAATTTTCCTGGCTCGCTAACTGGGAGCCACGTGATGCCCATCCGGCTGGGGGCAGGAGGAGCCCTTCGGATGAATTTTATTGTCTTTGCCCAGAATCAGGTTCCCGGTTCCCAGAAAGGAAGTTGCAGCAGGATAAGAAAAGCATCATCCACGGCCGACTTGGCCCTCCTCCCAAGACCCAAGTCAAGGGAGTCAAGAGGGAGAGGAGGTTGACTAGCTCCTTGCTCTCTGTTCTGCCAGCTCTTCCGCAAGGGAGTGGAGTCCAGCTGCCTAGCCTGGGAGTCAGGAGCCCTGGACGCTGGGGCTGCCTAGCCTGGGAGTCAGGAGCCCTGGACGCTGGGGCTGCCTTGATGGGACTTTGGATAGCTCACTGACTTCTCTGAGCCCCTGTTGGGACAGGTCCGTGATTCCAAGCTTGACTCTAAGGAGCCTTAGGTTCTGTTGGCAATCACTGAAAAGCTTCTGGCAGCCGAAGGAGCTGCCCAGAGCTGAAGGGCAGCGCTGTAGATGGCTGTCTGCCTCCCTGCCGTTCACAGGGTTTCATTCAACCTCTCCCTCTCCCGCCCCT